GTTTATCATCATCATCAGCCTATTAATGTCCCCACTGCTGGGGCACAAGCGTTCCCTTTGGAGTGACAGACTTCTGATGGAAGGTTATTCCAAAATATTGCAGCCTTGACAGTGAATGAATCCCGAAAGTATCAAGATCGAGTCAATGCAGTCCTAAGTAACCTAGTCCTAGTAGTATGGGCCTAAGGTTAAGCACGTGATCGGTACTTAGAAATCGGAAACGTTCCTGGTAAAACTGTACTTCCAGGGGGCCAATCGCCTAACTGGATTGCTTTGGAAAACGCTATCGCTTACGATTTCATTTTGTTATTTCTAACCGCCGAAATACCTCACGCTCATTTTCTTTAACATTGTTATTACCAATGCAAAAGAAAAAAAAAGAGCGCGAGGCATTTGAAAACCTCAGGGGGCTAGAAATAACAAAATGAAATCGTAAGCGATAGCGTTTTCCAAAGCAATTCAGTTAGGCGATTGGCCCCCAGGGCCCAATAGGAGATATTCAAACTTTTTTGTAGAAAAGGATCTTTTTTTCTGGCGCTTCGCTCGCTTGGCTCGCGCGTTATGGTCACAACACTAACCTAACCTAACCTAGTGTGAAGTATCACCACTTGGGCCCTGGAAGTACAGTTTAGCCACGTTCCTTAAGGTAGGGAGGAGAGCGAGGATCATACAGCACTCTGTACAGAAGAGTGAGACATGTTCTCTTCACGTCGTAGTCGGATGGAAAGCCACTTCAACTTATTCCTGTATTCGGAGACATGATCAAACTTGCGCAATCCATTAATAAATCTAATGCAGAGGTTCTGAAGACGCTCGAGCTTATAGATAGGGAGATTGGGCCATGACTTACCTCGCAGTGCCAGTACAGATTGGTGGGTGCTAACGACTGCAGATGCAGCCGGGACCAACGGCTTAACGTGCCTTCCGAAGCACGGAGGAGCTCGAGATAGTAAATTTTTGGTCACCCATCCAATAACTGACTTATTCACCGACAAAAACATAACACTACCTAAAGGTAGTGTTTTTTAACTGTGAGCTTCTTTCTTTAAGAAGAAGGTTACTTCCCCAGACGGGCGTTTCAAATCTAGCGGTAAATCCGTTATGACCTGCCTCTCTTAAAACTTAGTCGTTACTACTTGGTGAAACTCTGTCGTCACAATATTGTATACTTGCTCTTATTAGAGATAAAAAATGTACATTGACTTTTATTTAATGACTGGTGTGCATGAAAACGTAATAATCAAATTCATATTGAGTTTTAATGATTTTCATTGGTTTATACGAGCAAAATATAAAAAATATGTTCCCAGCAGTGGGAATATTAATAGGCTGGTGTTGATAAGCGAACGTTTTGGTAATTCAACAACTTACTTATTACTCGTGTTATACGTGTAATACTTATTACTCGTGTAATAAATAAATTGTTGTTACTCGTGTAATTCGTGTAATACTTATTACTCGTGTAATAAGTAAGTTGTTGAATAACCAAAACGTTCGCTTATCAACACCAGCCTATTAATATTCCCACTGCTGGGGCACAGGCTATCCCTATGGATGGAATAGGGGGATTGGGCCATGAGCAAATACGCGGGCCCAGTGCGGATCGGTGGGTGCTTACGACCGTAGATGCAGCCGGGACCAACGGCTTAACATGCATACAGTAAATTTTTGGTCACCCATTTAATGAGTGACCACGTTAACCATCTACGCCATTGCACTCCTCCATGCCGCAGTTTTTGGCGCAAACGTTTGCTCAATTGGTATTAAATAGTAGACCTTATAATAGCGTCCATCAAGCATTATCTCATTGTTCAATTGGATTACTCGTATCCTTGTTTGCATCTAATGTTACGGTTAAAAATACCAAAGTAGGTTGGAGTCAATACATGCTTGAGATTGAAGCAATTTCAAATGCAGTGTTGACTTTAAAGTACTATTTTACGAGCTGAACGTTATTTGGATAAACATCAAAATCATAACAATTATTACTTAACTGGATAATGTTTATAAAAAAAATATACCGAATGCTGAGCCTCCTCTTTTTGAAGTCAATTAAAATCATTATGACTCAGGAACGAATTTGCTAAAACACACACCAATTAGCCTAGCCCCAAAGTAAGCACTGTAAGGCTTGTGTTATGGGACAATAGGGTAACGGATAGAATGCATACATATAATGTACATATATAAGCATATTTATATAGAAATACATATTAAACATCCATGACTACAGTACAAATTGCTCGTATTCATCACACAAACATCTGCCCCCACCGGGATTCGAAAGACACCATGAAACCCGGCGTACAAACCACTCGGCCACAGAGGTCGTCAAAAAAATATTGTTATTGTTTTCTCGTAGTCTTTGTCTGTCATCTGCTATAATATTATTTTGTGTACTACTTTAAACATAGATAAATAATTGGTCTCGAGTGAAGCGAGACCAATCATTCATATATAATTTTTAAAATAGTCTCAATAAACCCATTGCGTCCAAAATCCTAGCTTACATTTTCCATTCCACTAGCTCTCCGTTTCACCTCCAATGATTCAAACCTAGCACTTTTAGAAAAGAAATCGTTCATTTGAGGAGGAGGTTCGATGTGCTTAATATTTTTCTTAAGACCTTCAATAAATCTGCGACGCTTCATAGTGTAGTGCAACAACCTTGCACAATGGTTTATCTCAACTGAACTAAATCAACAATACGATAAAATGACGATGAATCATTCTCATTGATGTAATATTTGAAAGTGTTACGTTCACATACCTATCGCTACCGTTGCAATTTCACGCAAAGGCCTTTTTGGATTTTCGTTACAGCTACGTTTATTTGTTTTGACGAAACAGCGTTTTTTATTTCAATACATAGGTATATTTATTTTATAAGTTATTTATTTAAATGAGATCAACGAGTTATCAGGTATGAATTTTAAAATAAACCAAAATACAAGTAGAATTTGTAGCTAGAGAAAATACAATATTTTTTCCTTTACATTTAAATATTGTGCAGTTTAAATACCTAATAATTGATAAGTACAAACATCATTTTTATTGAGTAGTCGGGTTCGCGTCCCGTTAGACGACGGGTTGGTTTTGATATGAGAGAGAGAGAGAACCATTTTATATTATCTCGATCTATCGATATTTCGATATTTTATATCGATCGATATTTAGATATATGGATATTTAGATATATCGATATTTAATCCCACTCTTCTGCGTCTGCAATGACTCGACGTCGCTCTCTCTGGGGGAGCGGTGCTGGAGTCTGCATTTAGGCTGCTTGCGTCGTCAGTGTGTGGGATTGCGTCGATGATGTTGAAAAGAGCGACGGCTTATCGCCGCTGCTTTTCGAACGTCGGGCGCGCAAGGATGTTGCGCACACGCGCTTTTCCTCCCTCGAGAGTTTGGTTGATGGTGGGTCCCTCTTGCGCTTTGCGCTTTGGTTAGGTGGCATCTCTTATTCGATCGACAGGTCTTCGTTGCCGTGCAATGCCTGCAGCGCCATTTAATCGGCGGGGGAGAGGATTGAAGTGTCTCCTAGTTCGTACTCAAACAGGCTCATATACACTCCCATCCAGCGGGTCAGGCCGTCCGACAGAATGCCGGATTTTGCCAGCCTAACCACAACTATGGCATCAGATTCATATATGAGGCATTGTGATTGTGGCTGCGGTCCCTATCCTATCCCATCCGGATAGGGCGATTACGGCTGGTGAAGTACGAGCTTGACGATGTAATGGTGTTGGGAGGCCTGGGATGATGGAAATGTCATCTGTAGCCTGCGGATTCTTTCGTTGAGGCGGAGTGGCATCGATTGTTTTCTGTGGCGGTGGTAAGGGGGTTACTTCCGCGCGATCATGGTCAGGTTGGTGGCCGGCGGCTCAGGAGGGGAAAAGCAATCGACGCTGGCGATCGACTCCTGACAGTGCTCGCGAGCAGTTAAAAACAATTTGAAGAAACAGAGAAAGAAAGAAAACTGTTTTTATTGTTGACGGCATATAACATACACATAAAATGCAAAAATACATTAAACATATAATAAAACGAAACGAACAAGTAAAATCAACAACAACAAAAAACAGCTACAAAATGTGTATTTTATGTGATGCCAACACTGGATATGGCTCAGCATACACCACAGGTTAAATACCTGCTGCACTGGTATTCTGCCATACCCAGAGCAGTGACATCACAGAAAACATTATTATTTAAAAAAAGATACAAATTAATTACCTCCTAAATGCAAATAGAAAAGAAATCGCACTATAGGTCAGAACGGTCAGAACACATCACAATATCACAATATCTGTGGCAGAAAATTGTTAATGATTACAGAAGTAATCTGTGGTTGGCTACGACAGCTTGTTCTTTTAATGGTCTGTGGTTACAACAAAGACAAAAGGACTTTGACCTTTTAAAAAAATGCCATGTATACAATAAAAAAAAATTGGATGACGGAGATCTTATGGTTCTATAGGATCCATGCGCATACGACGTAGTGCGGTCCTATATACAACTAGGGACGAAGTAATTGATTTATAAGCAATTAGTTGGTAGTTTCAAGTTAATTTTTACCATCCAGATGAAAGTTTAAGACTTTCATAAAGACACATTTTCAAATAGACGAGGCAGCGGGCTGAAACTAGTCTGCCATAAAACCTTGTCAGTTTTCAAAGAAACATAGTAATTTGCTGTTAACACATGTAACTTTAGTCTGCTATTCCGCCCTTTGATGAGGAAATGATAGACTTTTTATTACAACTAGTTCGAATTGGAATATATCTATCCGACTGAGCCTTGCCTTATTAAATGCATCCTTTGATAACGTACCCATACAGAAAAGGGAAAAATTCTATATAATTCCTCTACCCATTACATTCAGCTAATAACTTTGTAATTAAGGCAGAGTGATATTTACGAATGTGTGTACATTATTGAAAGAATGGAACTAGTAGGATTTCCCATACTGAATGCACATTTTCTCTTACTTGCAGGCAATCATGACAGGAGCTTGAACCTCGACGTCAGCGAAATTAACGTGTACTTCTACGACTTACCCAAAAACCACGTGGAAACATTCACAATAGAAAATGCCGCCAACGGCATCCTCTCCATCAAAGACCTGGACAAGAGCAAGAGATTCATTATCTTCGTCGGAGGCTTCAAGTCCAACATCAACAAAAGAACAGAAGAGAAAGTCAGACAGACCTTCAGAAACTTCCCCAACAGTTACCTGATCATCCTCGACCATTCCCCTTACACGAACGATAAACAAGGCAGCATAAAGAGCTACGAAAGGTCCGTGAAATATGTCCACTATATTGGCAAAGCGTTGGGCAACATGCTTGCTAAGTTATCAGAAGGAGGTATTTCGCCGAAGAGCATACATTGCATTGGCCACAGCTTAGGGAGCCAAATCTTGGGTCAAGCTGGCGAGGTCTTTTTTAAAAGCACGGGAAAGAAAGTCTGGAGGATTACCGGCTTAGACCCAGCTGGTCCGTGCTTCTCCAACAGCTTAATGCAAGAGCAAATCAGGTCTGGGGTGGCAGAATATGTGGAGGTGTACCATTGTAATGCTGGAGGATTAGGCACCACTAGCATAATAGCCGATGTGGACTTTTTCGTCAACAAAAAGGGAGCGTCACAGCCGAACTGCGGTACTCCTCTGATTCCTGGGATATTTGATTCATCCAAAGCAGCCAAATGCAATCACAGGGCCTGTATCGATATTTGGACGGCCACAGTCGCCCATCCTGAATGGTTCATGGCATGGCAATGTGACTCTTATAAAAAGTTCAAAAAGGGCAATTGTTCTACGAACGATTCTACCATTGCCGGTTTCTGGAATCCTGGTAATGCCACCGGTATTTACTACTTCTCCACCGAAGGATACGACTTTTAGTACAGTCAGGCATGTCAGTTAAAAAGGTCTGCACCGCTTTCAGTTTTATGTGCTACATAATATGGCCCTTTCCATATCAAATTGTGACCACGGACGAATGAACTAGACGATGATGCTATTCAATGCAATTTTTTATTTAGTAATTTAGCAAAGGGGTTTTTGGAAATATTAACGCCACAGTATCCCTAGCACGAACCAATATCGAATTTCTATCGTTTGTAAATCCAAAATGTCATTGTCAAATGAGTACTGATTTTTAGTTCTCGTTACGTACTTTGTGCCGCTGCTGTTCAAGTTTCCATACAAAATTTGACATTGACTGGTTCTTGCTAGTTGTACTGTTCACATGGACTTTTTGCACAAATTTACCAACTATAAACCGAGTATTTTATTACATGAGTAGAAGGTTATCCGTTAGCCAGTTCAGGCCATATCAGTTGGCGATTTGAAAGATGTGTGGACCTCAGAATATTAACTCAAGCATATTTCGAGATGTGGTCTTCTCGTCTCGGTGCTGTTATCTAGCGACTTTCATTGCAGAAACCCTCATTAATAATATAATGCTAAAATAAGGTATTTGACAAGTTTTAGAAAACGATCTGACGTTATTTACAGAGTCCATAAAAAGTGGATATTCATCATTATGTTGTGTATTTCGGTAAAAAAAAACTAAAACAAAAGCTCTATTTTCAAGTTGCCGCGAAAAACGTATCTCTGGACAATATGGCGTCTCACTGGTGTGTGACGTCACACGCCACCAATCCCAAGAGTTGTGGGCCAAGTGACAAAAGACAAGAAAACTATTATCTTTATCGTGGGTTTTTAGTAAAATTATGAATATTTTTTCCGTAAAAATAGTAAAAACTCCTTCCAATATTCATTCTATATACAGATGCTAACAATTGGCACTTTATTTTTAATACTGTCAAATACCCTATTGTAATTGATAAATAGAGATTGTTATAATACACACATCAAAAGTGTCTAGGGATCAAGCATTTTTATGCGGATTTCTTGAGATTGAGATGTGGCTTTGTAATAAATTTATGATTTTATAAATTTATATGGATCCTTTTTGGTGCATTTCATAATTTGAATCAGGAACTGTGAATCAAATTCGAGTAAAAGATGAAAATCAGCTGTCAATATTTTCCCTATAAAAACATACAACGCATTGAAGACATTATTAGTGCTACTGTTTCCCTACTACTGATTAAAACCAACGTTATTATGGAGCGGCGACGTCATTTAAGCAGGGAAGAAATGCTCAGAGCCGTGGGAATGATAGAAGCTGGTTCCCGGCAACGTACTGTGGCTTTAGCTCTGAATACAAGTCAGAGTGTTATCAGTCGACTTTGGACACGATACCGAAGCACTGGTACCGTGGCTGAGCGCCATGGAGGACGGTATCGCTGCACCACACGGAGACAAGACCGATACATTCAAATCTTAACTCGAAGAGCTCCAACAATAACCGCCATGATGTTAGCCGTGAGGCTTCATCACTCTTCAGGGAACTTAATTAGTGACCAAACAGTCAGAAACCGCTTGCATGAAGTGAACCTTCATTCCCGAAGACCGCTACGGGTACCACCTATAGCAATGCACAATCGTAGGATTCGATATCAAGGGGCTCTTGAACACAGAAATTGGGCAGAAGAACAATGGCGTTTCGTGTGCTTTTCTGATGAGTCTCGTTTTGGTATGAGACCGGATACAAGACGTATACGACACTGGAGAACCCCTGGACGCCAACAGCGATTAAAATCCTGCCAGGAAGTCCATCCTTATAGTGGTGGAACCATCATGGTATGGGCGGGTATTTGGATCGGCGGAAGAACTGAGTTGATTTGGATCAGAGGCAACCTCAACGCTCAAATTTATGCTGAGACGATTGTATCAGACGTCATCGTTCCTCTCTACAAGTGCAAATCGGTCCCTTATTTCAGTTAATGCATGATAATGCACGACCGCACACCGCAAGAGTTGTAAGACAGACTCTCGCCGCAGCTAACATCAATGTCCTGCCCTGGCCTGCTCAGTCGCCAGACTTGAACCCGATTGAGCATGCATGGGATATGCTACAGAGAAGAGCTCTGCCGAATATGGAGGGTATCCAGTCGCAAGAAGACCTTTTTTTGTTGTTGCAACGAACATGGGCGGCCATTCCACAGCGTGATTTGGATGAACTCATTTTGAGTATGCCAAACCGATGTTCTTGTGTTGTTAGTGTTCGCGGTAGAAATACGGATTATTAATTGTTTAAGTTACCCAATAAAATTTTAGAGAAAACTGTTATTTCAGTCTTTTTTTCGTTTCGTGTTCAAATGTCAAAAATCCCTTTATTAGGAAAATGGCAAATTTCTTTATTAATGCAAAGGTGACTTGGTTTATCGTTACTGTGACAAACGAAAACACTTTATTTGATGAATCCTTAAAGAAAATTTTAATTAATATCAATCAGGAGAAAAGTTATTGCAAAAATATATGTTGATCCCTAGACACTTTTGATGTGTGTAGTTTTAGAAATTTTGGTCGAAATATTTCCTATTGTTAAATAATACGTAGAATGCATGTATCATGAAGTTATGTGTCATGAGTGTGTCGTGCTTGTAAGCGGCAGTATAAATATGTACCTAATATTTAGACGCTCCATTTATATATTTTTTATACATTACTAGAATTAGAATTAGAATTTATTTATTTGCATTTGAATAGGGTACACTGGGGATCTTACAAATTTTTAAGTTCGGCCCATTCAGCCATCTTAAATAGCATGCAAATATTTTACACTACATTATTAAACGTAATACATATTAATTTACATTGTGAAATCATTTTTCAATGTATATAAAAATAAATTTAAATTCATCAAATAAATAATAAGTCAGTGAAATTACAAAAAGTGTCCGATTCATTTGATAAAACGGCATTCAAAATTAAATACATGGTTAAAAAATTGAAAAGTCAAATTAATAATATCAAAGATGTAATCTTGATGGTGTCGATTCTGTTGTGATTCTCTAAACTTAAAACTAAATTTAACATCAGTCTCTCCTTTTCATTTTGTATAGAGAATAACAAGGATACACTGTTGTCAAATTTAAGTTTAGATTTAGAGAATCGTGCTAGAATCGATGTCTGAATATGTCATTAAAATGTCACTAGATACAATCACTCAAATATTCTTTTACACTAAATAAAACCAGTTTATTACGGGTTAATGCACGAAAACTTTATTTATTTATTGACGTTTCGTAGCCTTTACAGGCAACGTCGTCAGAATAAAATTTTATTTAATTTTGTCGAGCTACCTTCGAAAGACTTTTATTGAGCGTTCGGTTATTACATAGTTCGATTTTTAAAATTTTTATTGTCTATGTATGAATTTATTACTTAATTTAGTTAATAAAGTACTTTATTTAAAATTCTTTTTGTAATTTTGAGTTTATTTATTTGACCCTAACTACCGTAAACTACCACCGGTTCCAAAATTGGGAGACCTTCCTGAGAAGAACCGGCGAAACAAACTCAAGAGAGGCTTTCTATCTCCTTCTTATGTTAAATTATGCAAACAAAAAGAACTAATAGTAGATACTATTAGTTCTTTTGGTCTTGCAGTGTGTGTTCGGGGTTGGGATTTTATCTCCTGTATAATGGGTTCCCAAGCTGGTGGTATATACCAACCATCTTCCCTATTGAAATTTGGATATTTTTTAATCTCAATAGCCTCGCGTATCATTCTAGGAACGAAACGTTGCTCAGTTGCAAGGATCTGTGGTTTATCAAATCTAATGTAATGGTTTGGTCCCCCTAATGCATGTTACACTATAAAACATCTTATTTTTACTACATTATAAGATAGAGAAGAACGACCCTTTTTTACCCTTTACTTGAAAAAACGGAACATATAATTGTTAGTGTACTAAAGTAGCTGCCTACCTAACGGAAAATGATCTGTAAAAAAACCTTTTGGTCGGGTGACTTGGATGGGTATCCAAGAAACTGCAAAATTTACTTAACTTCAATAATAATAGACTTAGACTCGTATTACAGAATGACTAACTAAGTGCTGATCTTTACTTGAGTACAGTTAGAAAGGGATGTCGCAATGTGCTATATATAGCGACATCCCTTCAAGACTACATCAATCACTGGGAATCTTTCTATAACAGGGGCCTAAAACACCTACATTTTGAGCATGCCAAAGAGCTCAGCATGATTTATTTTTTTAGTAATTGTTTAGTCTCGGTAAAAGGCATAGTTCCGAACAAGCCCCATAGAATGCGACCAACGGAGTGTGAAGCCGCTAACTCCTCGTATCCGGTTTAGTCAAAAGTCAATGCGTATTAAATTATAGCTTAGTCAGTTTTGTAAAGGTAATTACAAACATCGAACAGTCTTTCAAATTAACATAGCGGTTAGCGATTCCGACAGACGTTGTACAAATAGGTCAAAAAAATATGAAACCCAAAATAGCCATCTATCGGGTAAAGTGCGATCATTCTCAGACAAAAATCAAACGCTTATCATTTTATTCCTAAATGGCTTCGCGGCTTGTGCATTTAGCCAATGGTGTCGATTCCGGCGTGATTCTCTATACTTAAAAATAAATTTAACATCAGTCTCACCTTTTCATTCTGTATAGAGAAGGACAAGGATGCACTGTTGTCAAATTAAAGTTTAGCTTTAGAGAATCATGCCAGAATCGACATCAATGTCAAGTGTTAAAATGTTTACAAATGCTATAGCACTCGTCGTCAAAGTAATAAATCAAGTCAAAGTAAGTGGCAGTCAAGTCAATCCCCCTTTCCCTATGTATCAGTAAAAGTGTGGGGATTTATTGGAACCTCCCCGTGGATTTCTTGAGGGAACGTTGAAAGACACTTTCCTCTATTTTGTTTCACTTGCCAACACTTGTGCATGTTCCCGAACACTTAGTGGTTAAAAATCCACCATTATTAGACACTAAAATCCATCACAACACAATTTTTGACAAG